GTGCAAAATTGGGGCTCCTGGAAGGCTCAGTCGGTTGAGCGCCCGACTTGCTCAGGTCATGTTCTCGCTTGTGGGTTCGAGCCTTGTGTGAGGCTCTAGGCTGACAGCTCAGAGCCTGGAGCCTGCTTCAGATTCTGTGTCTCCCTCTCTCTTTGCTCCTCCCCTGCTCACGCTCTCTCTCTCAAAATAAATAAACATTAAAAAAAAATTTTTTTAAATAGTGCAAAATAGAACATTTAAATTGCCTTTGATTACTATAATCCTAATGCAAACAGAACAATGGTACGAAGTAACATCACATAAATCCTTTAATCTAGATGCCAAGTTACTATTACCTTTTACAAATGGATTAAATCAATTTGTCATATTATTACCGTATAAACCTGGCCAGAGGAAGCACACATGCTCAGTTTTCAAGTGAAGTTGTTAACTTTAATATTAACGTATAAAAAATAATCATGGTAATGAAGTCATTTGCTACTTATTCCTGATAGCTAAGGGCAAAGAATATATGCTGAAAAACATTCCACTTCCTAAATTATAGTCAAATACATTAATAATGAAGTAAAAACTTCCTAGTAGAGAATGGAACGGCAAAAGCTAATGTGCAGCATAAAGGTACTGGCTTGCTGCTAAGAAATGAGGAAAATCCTGTATCAGGTAAGATTCCTGGCTATACCCTAGATATCATCAATAGTTTATCTTCCAAGCTGGGCTTATGTTTCTACATCCTCAAAATGAAGACATTAAGCTAAAAAAGCTGTTCCAAAATTGTCTGATAAAATCACTCAAGAAGCTTTTTAAAAATACAGAATACAAAGCTACTCCCCTGGAGATTTTCCTTATATAGTAGGTCTGAACTATTAAGAGACCTACAAATTTTTAACTTTTAACTAGTGACCTATTTGGTTTTATACATGGTTGAGAAGTATTAAGCAAGATACACTCAAACCTACTTCTAGCTCTAGAATTATTCTGCATATAGAATAATGTACATGGTAAATGTTCAATAAATAGAGCAAAATGGCTTGGTAATAGTCTGAGAGAATATTGGAAGAATCAGTAAGTTGTTTATTAAATACTTGGCTATTTTTATTGTATCAAATCAGTGAAATAATGGGGAAAAAAATCCTCCAATTGTCAAAACCTCCAACTGGCCAAAAGGAGGATTTAAAGATTTGTTTTCCAGATGTTTAAAGACATGAAACTCTTGGAATTAAA